AGGGAAAAATGAACGTCGGACAGTATTCGAACCGACAACCTTCCGCGTCCCGAGCGCGCGCTGTACCAACTGAGCTAATGATGAGGGTTTTGCAGAGGGGAAGCTTATATCCGCTGTGGCTCTCACCCCGAAACACATGGCTGGCAGAGGGAAAAGGGTTCCGTTGACTAGATTCGAACCAGCGACTGTTTGCGTACCGGCCAAACACATCAGGTGTCGCACGGCTGTAAAGTCATGACCAGCCGAGCGCGAAAATTATCACCCGGCCGAGATTCGAACCAGGGCCCAGGTTCACGTCGTGCCGGGACACTACCAAATGAGCCACGAAGGAACGATAATCACCGCAGCTCCCGGCTGCATCCAGATCTCAGCTGTCACTAACGCCACAAGACACTTGGCCAGCAGAACAGGAAAAATGATAACGGACAGGATTTGAACTAACAACCATCCCCACGCTCTGCCTCCGAACACGCTACAACACTTTCGGCAGCCAGCTAACCCTCCCCGGTTTGCGTTCTGAGCGGTATCCTGCCTAACGGGAGACAAGAAGCGACAAAGTAAAAGTTTGCCTCGCCCGGGGGTTGATCTTCCGACAGTTTTGATTCGGATGAGAGCTGCATGCGGTCGTGTCGATGGTATAGCTACAACTCACCGTGCTACAACTGTTTAGCTACAAAACGGGCGTGTGGCTGGTGGCGTCAGTTATCATATATTGCCTAAAAGAGATAGTCAGGTCGGATTAAGCTGACTCTGGCCACCGGGTTTGTGGCCACAAATAGGGACATCCCTCGGGCTCGCTTTGTGCTCTGCCCTCCGCCCCATTGGTAGGGCTGCCCCCCACCCCCCAATACTATTATTCCTTTTAAACAAAAAACGTCCATACTTTTACAAATACGCGGCACTGAGAAAACTACTCGTCCTTATAAAACGGCACTAAGATAGGGATTATGTAACCATTTTAGCGCAAAAGTAATTGTGTTTCTCCTTCTCCCTTGTTTATTGACGCCACCGAGAAATTCCGAAAAAAATCACAAAAATAATGATTAGAAAGATTGTGTCTCTAGAGAACACAAAACAATTGCATGCGGCTGCGAGGACGTGACCCTCATCTCTCGAGTTGAATCACTCGCCTCTGCCCGTGAGCGGACGAGACGCCGCCACCGCGTGTTCCGCACTCGGTTCCCTAGAAATGGTCGCTGTGCCGCCCGCGCTCTTTCCGCTCCGCCCGCCTCGCCTGGGCCTCGTCGCCGCCATGTGCGCGCCCTTTACTACTGGGGCATAGGGGCGGCCGGGCCCTCGGCCCTCGGCCGGGCTAGGCCGGGCTAGGCCGGGCTAGGCCGGCGCAGCCTCGGCATTCCCTCGGGCCCGCCTCCCCCGCCCGCCCGGCCGCCGCCGTCGCTTTGACGTCACCAGCGAGTCACGAAGGGAAGGCAGACGGGAGCGGCCCCCGCCCGGCCCGGCCCGGCAATCAACTTCATTGCTCCGCTGGCGCAGCCCGGTCTGGCGCGGCCCCGGCCCCGGCACGGCGGCCTTTGGCACGTGCCAAACACGTGCAGACGGCACGCGTACCGCCGACCGACCGGGGGGAGGCCGCGCCCCGCCGCGTCCTCTGTGGCTCTGGCGTGCGGCCGACAGGAGGAGGGCCTCTGTCTGGGGCCTCGGGAGGGCGCCGCTACGACGCAGGCGGCGGGCTGCTTAAACACGGCCCGGTAAGGCATTCACCTCATCGAAGGCAAAACGACGTGATTCGACAGCGGTATTGTTCCGATTTATGCCAAACAGATTCATAACGCGAACGAGAAAAAGCTGAAGTATGAAGTCGCAGCCACGCAGCCGCATCAACATATGTCCACCACACCAAATCAAACACTCGCGACCCCCAAGTCAGAACGGCGCGTTTGTTTCTCAAGGCCCCTCTCTCTGACCCTCTCCCTTTCCTTCTGCGCTTTACAAATCCCTCGAGGGCCCTCTCGCTTGGTCCCGGAGGACCTCGCGAGTCCCTTGTCGAGTCCTTCCCGTACACGTGCGTGCAGGTCACAGGGCGCTGCACTGACCCTTCCCCCTCCCCTCCTCGTGCCCCTCTGTACTCAGCGGGCACGTTTTGTTGTGGTCGAGCGAGCCCCCCTCTGCCCCTTCCGGCCCCTCCAGCCCCGCCGCCGCACAACCGCCTCGAGCTGCTCGAGCCGAGCCCCCGTCGGGGTAGACAACCCGGCTGACCGCCGCGCACCGAAGTTGAGCGGGCCTGCCTACCCTGTCGTCTGCAGGGGCTCTCCGCGGCCGCAACTCGGCAGCGTGGTGGCAGGTGTGGCGGAGCGGGGTGG